AGGCCACAGGTCTAAGAGGATCACACAGCTGAGGGCTTCTGCGTGCCGGATATTAATAGCGCTGGCTTTGCTTGGTGTGGCCGGGACAATCCTCAGGCCAGCCCTCCATGTGAACTGCCCCCTCCTGTGTGTGGGCTGGCACACCCGGCCTGCAGAGGGCCACCCGGAGGGCCACCGTGTGCCTGCACCCCTCCTGGATTTCCTGGAAAAGGCTACCTTCCCTCCCTGCCTGGGGCTGCAGAGTGAACCCCCCACAGCAGGACAGGGAAATCTGAGGTGCCTCTTGGCCAGGTGTCCTGAATGTCAGTGCTGAGCTGGGCAACCCCCCCACTGCAGCTCTAAAGTGCTTCCTACAGGCGTAAACAAATCTGAAACTCTACCCTCCGGCACCATCTGGAAATAACTGCCCTACCCCACCCCCACGCATGGAGGCTCCCGCAGGGACCTGCAGCCACCCAGGGCTCAGCAGAGCGCAAGGGACGCAGCCACCTCCCCTCCCACAGAAACGGGGGGTGGGGTGGGGTCATCCCCACTCTCAGCAGAGTCAGTGTGCACAGAGAAGTCCTGGCAGCCCTAAGCCCTCTCCCCGGGGTGGACACATCAGCCGCCAGTGTCCGCTTCCTGCTGCCACACGTCTCTCTCGGAGCTCCTAACACCGAGGCAGGGCGCTGACGCCGCCTGGAGGTCACACGCCTGAAAAGTAGGCCACTCCTGGAGCTGCCTCAGAGGCAGGACCGGCTCATCTGTCTGTGTCCACAGGAGCTTCCTCTCCGACTGCTCCTGGAGGCGGTTAAACCCTTACCTGGGAAGTGGGCAGAAGACAGCCCAGAGCCCAGGTCGGGGAGGCAGAGGCTGTCCTGAGCAGGGCACAGAGTCCGGGCTCCTGGGGGCCATGTCACCGGCTGCGCGGTCTCAACAGCAGAGTGGACTCAGGCTGGTCAGCCTGTCATGGGCATGCACCCTGGGTGCCCCAGAGGCAAAGCTACAGGTCTGTGGAAGCCAGTTCTGTGCTCGCCAAGTAAGGGATGCATGAGCCCAGAGACGAAGCTGTGAATGGAAGCACCAGGCCCCCACCCTGGAATCACGTCACCTTGCTGCAGCCACGTGTCCCCCAGCATGGTCCTCCACGAGGCTGCACTCGGCCACAGCAGCCCACAGCGGGGAGGGGCCGCCCACCGTGGGGAGGGGCCGCCAGCCCTAGCCCTGTTCCCAGGGTCTGACCCGAAGAACTGGAAGGGCCAGAGAAGCCCGTTCCCACCCGACCCACAGGTGCTGATGCTGCACTGGGGTTAGCACTGCCCAGGGCACCCTCTGCCTGAGGCTGCCTCCTTGCAGGTGGGGCTGTCTGAGGCTATCGGTGCTGGAGGCTGCCTCAGCCACTGCAAGGCACCGCGTACCCCTCCCTCACCTTCAGCCAGCCATCCTACTCTGGGCCACAGCATAGTCGAGTGTGGGTCAGTCCCCTCCACAGGGGCCACAGCTTGCCTCCGTCTCCTCCTGAAGGACAATGGTAGGTACACTACAGGTGGGTCGGCTCATGAAGACCAAGGCAGATGCCTCATCAGCAATAAGGGCCCCATAAGTGATGTCATTGTAAAGAAACAAGCACAGGCGACTGGGCATGGCGGCTCACACGTGTAATCCCAATACTTCTGGAGGCTGAGGCAGGTGGATCATGAGGTCAGCAGTTCGAGACCAGCCTAGCAATAGTGAAACTCTGTCTCTACTAAAAATACAAAAAATTAAGCCAGGCATGGTGGTGTGCACCTGTAATCCCAGCTACGATGAAGGCTGAGGCAGAAGAATCATTTGAACCGGGGAGGCAGAGGCTGCAGTGACCCAAGATCACACCCCTGCACTCCAGCCCAGGCGACAGTGTGAGACTCTGCCTCGAAAAACAAAAAAAAAGGAAAGAAATAATCACAGGCATGTGTAGAGACTTGAGGCAGGGCTGCCCCTCACAAACCACAAACCATCCACAATGCCATGGAAGCTAGAAGCAAACATCTAGCAGCAGGGAGTTCGAGGCCTGTGGGGTGGATGCTGAGAAACGGCTGTGGAGGGAGCGCAGACGGGAAGGGCCGCCCCCTTGCCGCGGTGCACAGCTGTTTTACCACCCTGGGGTCACTGTAACCCACGGACCTTCCTGCTGGGTGCTGCCCAACAGATCAGACTAAAGGGAAGTTTGCTGGATAACTAAACAGAGGCCGGAGGCCAGAGGGAAGAGGGAGCAGAGGGAGGAGCTGGCCCGCAGGAGCCAAAGCGGGCCTGACCCCACTGGTGCTGGACTGCCTCAGGGACGGGGCCATCAGGGCGGCTTTCTCAGGCTGGATGAGCCCTGGGGCTGGGCGCTTGCACAGGCCCACCCACCACTCTGGAAACCTTCGCCCAGCAGCACCTGCTCTGCATGGTCATGGGCAGCCCTTCTCTGCTCCCCACAGCCACAGCCCCAGACTCCATCTCAACCGCAGCCAGGAGTCACTGCCAACACCACAAAGGACCTGTTCCTGCACCAGCATGGGCCAGCTCTGGGGCGGTGCCCAGGGCAGAGTCACCAGTGGCAAGCAGACAATGAACAATGGGCAAGATGGACAGACTGGACCACCATGCTGGATGATGTGGCAGGCGGGGCCTCCGACCACCGGCACAGACCTCCGAGCTGAGGGCAGTACCAGAGGTTGAAGCAGGAGCAGATGCAGGAACTTCGGAGTCCACGCTGGCGAACAGTGAGAAAAGCCCATGCTGGGGCAGAGGAAGCCCTGATGGCACAAGCATGAAAACGCAAAGTGCAAGAAATTTGCCGAAGACGACGAGAGGCAGTTCCAGGGCAGACCAGGCCCTCAGAGGAAGGTGCTGCAATCTCTATTAGCCCGCAGCTTCCCCCTGTCCCTTGGTAAGCACACCAGAGAAAGGTAACAACAGTCTCCGCTTCCTGTCACACCGTGAGGGCCACTGTGCCCAGCCCACAGCCCGTGCACAGGGCAGGCCCAGCTGACTGCTGCTACCAACTCATGTCATCCCGGAGTGCCTTTCTGAAGAGCCCTCAGTGCTTACCTAGTGTTGGCCTGCCCCATCTTGGGTTAAATCAAAATCTCTTTGGTGGCCGGGCGCGGTGGCTCAAGCCTGTAATCCCAGCACTTTGGGAGGCTGAGGCGGGTGGATCACGAGGTCGAGAGATCGAGACCATCCTGGTCAACATGGTGAAACCCCGTCTCTACTAAAAATACAAAAAAAATTAGCTGGGCATGGTGGCGCGTGCCTGTAATCCCAGCTACTCAGGAGGCTGAGGCAGGAGAATTGCCTGAACCCAGGAGGCAGAGGTTGCGGTGAGCCGAGATCGCGCCATTGCACTCCAGCCTGGGTGACGAGAGCGAAACTCCGTCTCACAAAAAAAAAAAAAAAAAAAAAAAAAAAAAATCTCTTTGGTGGCCAGGCGAGGTGGCTCACGCCTGTAATCCCAGGGAGGCCGAGGTGGGCAGATCACCTGAGGTCAGGAGTTTGAGACCAGCCTGGCCAACATGATAAAACCCCTCTATACTAAAAATACAAAAAAGCCGGGCACGGTGGTGCAAGCCCGTAATTCCAGCTACTTGGGAGGCTGAGCAGGAGGTAGAGGATGCAGTGAGCTCATGATCCAGCCGCTGCGACACAGTGAGACTCCGTCTCAAAAGAAACGAAACGAAAAAAGCCTCTTTGGAACCCACGGAGGAACAGATCAAGTCCTGTTAGACTCCAGCCATGCAAAACTCCTAGTCACTGCCCACTGGGCGGGTGTGGGCCTGAAAAGACACAGGGCCGAGGGAAGCTCCTTCTGCCCAGCAGGTCCTGGAGGAGAGCGACCCTGTGCTGGGGCACTCTTCGCCTGCGGCACCCAGCGCAGCCCATCCCTGAGGGCGTCCTGGCTCACAGCGTTTCTGACCAGAGTCACAGCCTGAACCCAGGCAAGAGGCGCCTGAGTGGGAACAACTTCTTCCCCGGGGAACCCTCCGGCTCCCCAGGGGACACGTCAGACCCGGAAGGGAGGGGCAGCGCCCCGGGCGCCTCCCGCTGCCCTGGGTACTGCGCGGCCACCGCCCCCCGACAGTCACGGCCGCAAAGGCGCCGCGCAGGGCCCCGCTCCCCGAGGGGCCACCCGGCGAGACGAACCCGGGTGGGAACCGGCTCCTCCGCTGCACCCCCACAACTCCCCCTCTTCACTCTCTTGCAAAGCCCCCGCAGAGCCTCGAAAGCGCCCCGCGCGTGCGGGGCAATCAGAAGGCGTTGCGCGCCGCAGCACCGGGAGTCCCGAGCCCTGGCCTCGCGGGTCGGGCAGGGCCGGACCCCGAGCCGCAGACAGGCCGGTTCGCACAGCCGAGTAGGCGCAAGGCGCGCCGGGCGCAGGAGACCGAGGGCCCCATGCACTCGGGGCGGAAACCAAGGTCAGCGCGGGGCGTGCGCCCGGGCTCCTCCCCCGAACCCCGAGGAGCCTGCCCGCTTGCGCCAGGTCCGTCCCCCCGGCCTCCGGGCTTGGGGGACTCGGGCTCGCGGCGAGGACAGATCCCCCGCCCGGCTCCGCCGGAGCTGCCGCCCGCGTCCCGCTCGCCGCTGGACTGGAGGCGGCGCCCACGCCTACCGGTCCTCGCACGCGGTCTCGCTCTTCTCAGCCTGACGGCCTGGCGGGTCTCGGGCCGCGGGTGATGATGCGGCCGAGGGGGCGGCGTCCGCGCGGGCCGGGGGCGCAGCCATGGCGCTGGGCGGCCTCTCCGGCTGAGACCGGCGGCGCGCGTGGGCCGCCGGGAGCCGGTGGTTCTCGCTCCCGCCCACCGCGGACTACAAGCCCCACGGGGCAGCGCGCCCCACCTACCGCGGACTACAAAGACCACAAGGCCGTGCGTCGCGGACTACAAGCCCTATAAGGCCGCGCGGCGGGCACGCGGGACTCGTAGTTCGGCCGCCGCCGCGTGGCCGGAGGACCCGCCCCCTGCGTTTCATCACACACTCAGCCGCACAAAAACCCTGGAAAAAAAATCAATAAACATTTATTTGATACAGTCATTTCAGTACATACAGTGATGGCCCGTCCCCACGCCACTCGGGACCAGGGCGCGGGGCGGGGACGAGGACCGGGGACAGATGGTCACAAGGCGGGCGGGGCCCGAGCTCACCGTCGAAACATCTCGCAAATAAACACTTTGTAGATAGAATATATATGTATATATATATGGTTACAAGTGATAGCTGGAGCCTCTTTCGAAATGCACTTATGTACTGAGAACTGGCATCAAAACGCCCAAACCAAGAGCCCCGAAGCGCAGGGCGCGCGGCCGCGAGGCAGGGGCGGCCCCGCCCGGGTCCGGCTCGCCGGCTCCTTCCCTCCAGCGCCGCCGGGCAGGGGGGCGCGGCCACGCGGGAGGCGCTCACCTGCCTCCGCACCAGCAAATAAAGTGCATCCCACTCTCTGAGTGTCGGCCCGGCGGGTCAGCCCTTCCGGGCCCCTTCCTCTCCGGGCAGGGGGCGTGCGCTGAGCCCGAGGTAGATCTGCAGAGACGGCCCCGACCGGGCCGGCGCCCACCGCGCCCTGGGGTCTGCCCCGCGGGTCCCTCACCGACGGCTCCCGGACGCAGGCCTTCGTGGGCCAGCGCGGGGCGCGGGCAAGCCCTGCTGAGCTCCACCCGGGGCCCTACCCCTTGGGAGGTGGGCTCTGCAGACCAGCATGTGGGAGAGGGGGGCAGAAAGGAGGGGTCCGACCCAACAGCCACGTCTGGCAGCAGCCCCCACGCCTGCCTCAAAGACAGAGGGGCTTAAAGTGCTAACATCAAGTTACCCAGGACTCCCCTTCCCACGCCAGGGGCTACTCGGGCGGGGGCTTTGGGAGCGTCCCGGAAACTCGCCCCCAGCAAAAACCAGACCCTCTTCTCTCCTCCCCAAGGGCCAGGTACCTGAGAGACTGGGGCAGGCGTCACACCCTGCAGAGGTGTTCAGGTCCAACCTCCTCCGGCCATGGGTCGCCAGGCCAAAGTGCACCTAGCCCCCCTGCCAGTGCCTGCTCCCTTCCCCTCGTGAGGCTGCCCCAGCAGCAGCTGCCAGACCCCACCCTCCTCCAGCTCCAGCCGCACCCGTGCAGCTCTGGGCCGCAGGAAGGAAAGCCTCCCCTGACCCTCTGTCGCTGGCCACGTCCACTCTTTCCAAGACTCCATCCTCTCATGAGCCCGAGGTGTGTGTGCGTTGGGGGAGTCCAGGTCTCCACACTCCCTCCCTAGCACATCCAGCCAGGGCTGCTGAGGGTCAGAGCCTTGTGGCCGAAGGATAAAGCCAGAGACAGGAGCGCACCGCAACCAAAGTGCTCCTGAAACTTGTCTCCCTACTGCTCCAGGCCGAGCCCAGCTGGGCCCCTTCTCCCTGGGGGATGGGTGAGGGCAGGTGCTGGGGGCAGAGGCAGTACCCAGTACCGCCTCCCTGAGCAGCAAGGGACCCAAACCCCAGGCCCACCATCTGCACCAGGAAACCCTTAGCACCAAATGTCAGATTGTTGTGAGTTTTTGTATAAAAAACAATTTTAAAAAAAGGTTGTTACTTGTCACAGCAACAAGACTGGCATCCACTACACCCAGGAGACACACGCACACGGGCAAACATCAAAATTCACATCATCCAGGGTCAGTGGGGATGAGCCCTCAGCCCACTCCCACCCACCCTGGAAAACGGCCTCCCTCCAAACCCACCCCCTCTGAGCCTCATCCTCCCTGCAATGCTGTGGTTGGAAGGCAGGGCCCAGGGAAGGAGCCAGAGGCCGTGGCCACCTCTTTCAAGCACCCTGGACTCCCTGCCTGACCCCTGTGGAACCCATAGACCCAGCCACCCTCAGGGCCACAAAGGAGGCAAAGACACCTCTGGAGCTGCCACCAAACTGCTGTGACTTTGGCCAAGCCCCTCCCTGGCTGGCCTTCAGTTCTGTATCAAATGACCATACAACCAGAAACAACGGGGACAGGTTAGAAAAAAAAAGTGAGAAGGGGGCTCCCATGAGAGCTTGGCCACTGGGCCTACCCAGACACAGACAGAAGGCTGCCTTCCCCCAGTGGCCACTCAGAGCCAGGCCAGCTCTGCTCAGCTTCCCACCCCACAGCCCAAGGGCTCCGGGAAGACCCCAGGGCCCAAATTAGTCCATCCCTACTCCATGAGGCTGCTCCAACCTAGGCCTGCAGTGCCCAAAGGCTGAACACTGGAGGCAGAGCACACTCCAGGGGCCGCACCCCCAGGGCTGGTGGCTGTGTTGGAGGGCATCGAGCTCCTGCTGCCTTGTAGGTGACAGAAGCAAAACCCTTCCCTTACCCCAAGCTGGGAGCACTAGACAGGCCTGTGGGACAGGGCCTGAGCACAGCAGGGATTGCAGTGACAGAGGAGGGGCAGGGGTGGGGGGACGGGCCAGGCCTGGAGAGGTAGAGAATAGAAGCAGGGGGACAAAGTGGGGGACTGAGGGTGGGCAGGAGCCGGTCAGCTCAGCATGGCAGTGGTCAGACGGGGGTCTGTCCTGGGAGGTAGCTGGGGGTGCTGGAGTTCCAGTGTTGGGGGAGGTGGGGCCAGGATGGTGGCTGCTGGCTGCCCGGTGGCTCAGGTGCCCTGACCAGCCCAGAACCACGGGTTACCAGGGATGCCTGAGCCTTGGGGGAGCCAGGGTGTGGCCCCATCAAGGCCTGAGGAAGCAGAGCAGGGGAGCCAAAGGCCATCTGCCCGCTCCACACTGCAGCCCCCGAGGCCCCAAGACCCCAGACACATTCCCACAGGGAGGGGCCCTACTCCCGGCTATTGCACTTCTCCTGGGCACACCTTGGAGAGCCCCAACCCAGGTGTGCCCTGTGGCAACCTGAACAGGGAAGGGCCACCTTCAGGGAAGGGAGAGTGGCTGGCTGCCCCCTCCGGACGGATGAAGAGGCAGGGGTGGGGAAACGAGGACGGAGGTCCTGGGGCTGGCCCTGCCCCGAGGGAGCCAGGCGTGGCGGCTGCGTGGGGGCTGGGCCCCACCCACCAAGCTCACTTTTCAGGCGCCTTGCTGGCTCCCAGCTTCCGGCCAGTGGAGCCCCGGGCCCCCTTGTCCCTGCACCCCAGGGGCCAGTCGTCCCGGCGCAGGGGCAGCTTGGGCACAGGCTCCTCTGAGGGCCGTTCCTTCGGCTTTCGGCCCCGCTTCTTCCCGCCTGCCAGATTTTTTTTCTTTTCCTTCTTGGGCACCAATGAGTCCTGGCTCCGGTGTTTAGGAGGTGGGTCTGCTGACGTTCGGAACCAGTTCTAGGGACAGGAAAGCGCTGATGAAGACCCAGGACTAGACGCTGAGCACATGCGCCAGGTGTGGCCTGAGAGCTGAAGGCCTGGCAGCCTTCAGAGCCAGGCAGGCACCTGCAGCCAGGCTGCCAAGGGCGGGACTGGCGGACACCCTCGGGGCAGCTCCAGCTCCAGGTGCAAGCCTTCCAGTTCTCCCAGGGAAGGCAGACCCCACTGAGGAGAAACCACCAGATTTCTCCATGTTGACCGCTCACCCAGGTACACTCCATGCAGGCCACTGACCTCTCTACCCCCAAGGGGTGCCCAACCACAGCCCTGGCGCCTCCTGAGCTAGCCCCCAGCCACAGGCCCTGGTGATGGCCCTCGCACCTCTGCATGGGTCTTGAGAATGTGGTATTTGACGCCACTCTCGGAGCTGAACTCCTTCGGACACAGCAGGCAGCGGTACTTCCCCGCCAGGTGGGCCCCCTGCAATGCACAGGCAGGCCAGCCCCCAAAGGTTAGACCCGCCCCAGCCCTTGGAGGACCCAAAGCACCCAGATCTGTCCTAAGCCCTTACTCATGACTAAAGAGTCAGGGTCAGGGGTGGCCAAAGGAAAGCTGAGCAGTGCCGGGGACCATGCCCAAGAAGGGCCGGGAACCACTAGGTTGCCAGGGCTGCAGGGGTGGTGGGAGAGAGGAAGGGTCAGGAGAGGCAGGTGCCCACGGGAAGAGCTACAGATCTTTGCTGAGCATGCCCTCTGCCTGGATCCGGGTGCCCACTCCTGCCCACATGGATGCAGAGCCCCAAGGACAAGATGAAGACCCACTGGCTTGTGGTTGGGGCTAGGGGTCAGGGAGGTGTCCTAGGGTGGCATCAGCCTCCGGCCAGTCCCTGGGTTCACGGAAGAGGCAGCCGAGTTGAAAAAGTGGGGGGCAGGGCAGGGTCCCACACTACTGTGGGAGGGCCTGCACTCGGTGAGCTGGCTGTGGGGCAGGTCCCAGAACTGACCTTGCTGCAGCTGGCAAGATGAGCCTTGAGTCCGGACACGCTGGAGTAGATGGCTTCGCAGCACTGTGGGGGAGGCAGGTGTGGGCGAGGGCCTCTGGTGGGCACCCCACACCCAGATACACCCCTGCCCTAGCCCAGGGGATCTCTGAGGCCTCTTTGGGGCAAGTGAGGCTGTGTGAGTCCTGGGGATTGGGCAGGCTGGGCATGCAAGGCCTGGGTGGGCTGGGCACCTCCTACACAGTGTCAGCCTCCGCTCCTGCCCAGAGGGCCACACCGGGGCTCTGTCCCTGAATGGCTCCCCACGTGCCCCACCCGGCTGCCTCTGCTCACGTCGTTGGGACAGTTGACGTGGCCTTTCTCCTTCACTTCATTCTTCCACGCCTCTAGCAGCTGGGGGTTCAGCGTGGGGAGCCCCGGCCGAGTGTAGTTGAGCTGTGAATTCAACAGCACTAGGGTGAGCTCCAGGCCAGAAGACACCCCCGGCGGCTCTAACGCTTGCCTCGGCAGCCGGTGACACTCGCCACAGATGGGGGGGCAGCGGGTGGCCCAGGTCACAGGGGTGGCTGTGCCGAGGCTAGGGCCAAGGCAGGTCCTGCCCAGAGGCCACAGCGCTTCCCCAGCTCCGGGCGGGCAGCTCACCCGCGCAGTCTCAGGCACGAGGTCGTCCTTCATGCGCCTCTTGCTCCAGTCGCGGGCCAGCTCGTCCTCCGCTATCTCCTGCAGGTGGAACACGGCCACCTGGGCCGACGTGCGGCGCACACGCCCGCTTGGGGTCCGCTCCACGCCCAGCAGGTCCTCGGCCTCCGGGGACTTGTCCGTGGGCTCCTCGGGGGGCTGGAGGGCATGGAGGCCAGAGTGAGCCACAGGAACGAGACGGCAAGAGGCAGGTCAGGTCAGTGCACAGCGGGGCCACCCCGAAGGCCGGCGGACCTCCTGGCCTCGCAGTGTGCTGAGGACACAGCTGACGCAGCCAACCCCAGGGAACACGGAGGGTTCACCCTCCCGCCTGCCAGGACACACGTCCCGTACAGAGAGGGTCGGAACGCAGGCGTGAGGCGCACAGGCACAGATAGAGTGGGCACCAGAGGCACACACAAGGCACGCAGCACACGGACAAGCGCCACAGCACGGGGCCACGGCAGAGCCACTCACGGGGGCCGCGTGCTCTGAGCGCACGTGGTAGTCGTGGCCGGCCTTGGATCGGTATGTCTTGCCGCAGTGGGCGCAGGGGAAGGAAGGGCTGTCCACCTCACAGGGCGGCTTCCCGCAGCGCCGCTGGTGGTACTGGTAGCCCATGAGGCTGGAGAAGGCAGCCCCACAACCCTGGGGGGTCAGACCAGAGGACGAGTGAGTGGCCAGCAGGGCGCCCCCCCCGCCCCCCCCGCCCCGCCCCGCCATGGCCCCCACTGACCTCCCGGGGGCAGCGCAGCCGTCCCATCTGCTTCAGTACCTTGCGCAGCCGCTCACGCTCCTCCTGCTCGCCCCCCTCAGAGGCCTCGCTGTCAGAGGGCTGGGGACAGGCTGAATCTCGGTGACCCACCCCCACCACGGGGCCCTGCCCCGGCCCCTCCCCACCTGGGTGTCAGGCCACCGTCATCCAAGGTTGGGTGCTGGGGGCGCCACGGCGAAGGCGGGGCGAGGTCAGAGGCCATGCTGGATGGGGGCTGGGCCGTGGTACCTTGGCGCTGTGCTCTGCCATGGTGTGGTAGTTGAGGCCCGCCTTGGACTTGAACTGCTTCTGGCAGTGTTGGCACTTGAGCGCGTCCTGCAGCTGCAGGGGACCCACGTGTGGGAAGCCTGCCCACGGCCGATCCTCCCTCCCAAACCTGTGCCTGTCACCAAACCCATCACGGCCCGCTGCCTCACCTTCTGACACACCTCCATGTGCTTCTTGAGCCCCACGAGAGTCTTCCGGGTGACCACGTTGCAGGTGGGGCAGACGGCTTCCCCGCGCTCGTGGATGGCCCGCTGCCACAGCTCCTCGGGGCCGCCTGTGGGCAAGGCAGGGGCCTCGAAGGTTGTGGGGGTCCTGGGTGCCCTGGACGCCAGGCACAGAATCCAGTCTCCACACTCGGCCCCATCCCCGCCCTGTGGGATCTACCCGCAGTCTAGAGCTGCCCTGGGCCCTGCCGGGCAGCTCCTACCTGGGGCTGGGTGGGCCGGTGCCTCCTTGCTGACAGCAATGGGGGAAGCTGGCACCTTCTTCCGGACGTCCTCAGGGCCCGGTCCCTCCTGCTTCTTGGAGCGGTGAACTCGGGCCTTGTCCTCGGCTTTGACCAGGCCTGTGGGCACACAGGGGGCGGGGTGAGGCAGGGGTGGGCTCAGGAACTGTCCCTCAGTGGACACCCCTAGCCCTGGAGGTGCACACGGGTGGGGGGGTCTTACCTTTGAGCCCAAAGGTCCCTGAGATGGAAGGCTGCTCCCCTGTAAACTTCTTGGGTGTTTTCTGTTTCCTTCCTGACTCGGGGAGAGAAAACGGGGGCCACGACTCTGGTCAAATAACCTTCAGGAGGCGGAGCCAGCCCACCCGCTGCCCCGGGGGCTCTCGTCTTACTGTGCTTTGTTCGCTCAGGGTCCTCCTCAGGGGCGGACGCGGGGCCCGCAGCTCTCAGTGCCTCTGGGTCCCCTGAGGGCCTGCTGCTGGTGTCCGCACTCAGCTGGAAGGCCGAGCTCTGGCCCACGCCAGAGGGGCCGTACCCCCCGTTCTCTGGCCTGGCCTGCTTGGGTGGAATTGGGCAGGCGTCCAGGCTGTCCGCAGCCCTGCAGGGAGCAGGTGAGGTGAGGGCCAGGAGGGCCTGACTTTGGGCCCCATTCCCACCAGGCCACAGCCGAGGAGCACCCCAACCTGGAATGAGCCCCATTACCTTTTCTTACCACTGTTCCTCCCTGTGGCACGAGGTGCTTTGTTTTCCGACTTGGTCAGCAGCACCATTTTGCAGGGCGGTGTGTGTCTGCTGATGGCAATGGGCCTGCTGACCGTCACCGGCTTGCTGACCACAATGGGCCTGCTGACTGTCACTGGCTTGGTAACCGGCATGGGTTTTGTGGCTGTCACAAGCTTTGTGACCGTAATGGGTTTGGTGACAGGTACAGGTTTGGTGACCGGTACAGGTTTGGTGACCGGCACAGACTTGGTGACTGTGATGGGCTTGGTGGCCGGCACGGGCCTGGTGACCGGCATGGGCCTGCTGATGGTGACAGGTTTGGTGGCCGGCACGGGCCTGGTGACCGGCATGGGCCTGCCGACCGAGACCGGCTTGCTGATGCCTATGGGCTTGCTGACACCCACGGGTTTGCCAATCGTGACAGGTTTGCTCACTCCAATGGGCTTGCTGACCCCAACGGGCCGGCTGATGGTGACTGGCCGGCTGATGGGCCCAGGCTTGGGGGCAGGCAGGGGCCGGTCCAAGTGGTTCCAAGTCCGGTGTTTCTCCAGCTGGGTCTTAGAGGTGAACGCGGCCTCGCAGAAGGGGCAGGGGAAGGCCAGCCGATCTGAGATGGCACCCTGGGCAGGTGTGGACAGGTGTGGGACAGGGCCCCAGGGGCCTCTGCGCAGACACACCCCGAGGCCTCCTCTTCCCCGACCCATAGTCCCTTACCCCTTGGCACCGCTGGTAATGGTACTTGAGCCCGTAGATGCTGGGGAACTCCAGCCAGCACCCCGAGTTTGGACACTTCACCCTCGAGTGTGCCTTGAACTCATCCTTCCAGTCGTTCATCAGGGAGAGCTGAGTGTGGGGAAAGGCAGCACTGCTGACCTCGGACCACTGCCAGCCCAAGCCCGAGACTCAGAGCCCTCCCCAGGCCTGCAGGGCACACACACCACGTGACTTTGGTGGGAATTCAAACCGTCCCAGCAGTGGCCAGGCACAAGGCCTATTCTGGCAGCCCACCAATGTGACCCCCAGAATCTCACGGCACATCAAATACTAAGCCAGGCCTCAGGAAGCCTGACAGCCCAGTGCCACACCTGAGGCATAGAGCTGGTACCAGATGTGCCCAGGACAGATCAGGCCAGGACAGTGGCTGGACAGGAAGACCCCAGATGAGCCCCACCGTGGCCCTGATGGACAGGGAGACCCCAGGTGAGCCCCACCGTGGCCCAGATGGACAGGCAGACCCCAGGTGAGCCCCACCGTGGCCCTGATGGACAGGGACACCCCAGGTGAGCCCCACCGTGGCCCTGATGGACAGGGAGACCCCAGGTGAGCCTCACCGTGGCCCAGATGGACAGGGAGACCCCAGGTGAGCCCCACCGTGGCCCTGATGGACAGGGAGACCCCAGGTGAGCCCCACCGTGGCCCTGATGGACAGGGAGACCCCAGGTGAGCCCCACCGTGGCCCAGATGGACAGGCAGACCCCAGATGAGCCCCACCGTGGCCCTGATGGACAGGGACACCCCAGGTGAGCCCCACCGTGGCCCTGATGGACAGGGAGACCCCAGGTGAGCCTCACCGTGGCCCAGATGGACAGGGAGACCCCAGGTGAGCCCCACCGTGGCCCTGATGGACAGGGAGACCCCAGGTGAGCCCCACCGTGGCCCTGATGGACAGGGAGACCCCAGGTGAGCCCCACCGTGGCCCTGATGGACAGGGAGACCCCAGGTGAGCCTCACCGTGGCCCAGATGGACAGGGAGACCCCAGGTGAGCCCCACCGTGGCCCTGATGGACAGGGAGACCCCAGGTGAGCCCCACCGTGGCCCTGATGGACAGGGAGACCCCAGGTGAGCCCCACCGTGGCCCTGATGGACAGGGACACCCCAGGTGAGCCCCACCGTGGCCCAGATGGACAGGGTGACCCCAGCATGAGCCCCACCGTGGCCCTGAGGGAGCTCACAGGAATGTCTCGGAGGGTCTGGGTCTCAGCTTTTGGCCGCCCCTTTTTCTTCCCTTCTGTCTTGTCGATGGCTGGACTTCCTGGGTCAAAGCAGAGAGGGGCTTGGCCGGGCACTGTCTGTCCACCGCGGACCACCGGCATCCCTGCAGCACACAACACAGCAAGGCTGGAAGCCGTGCAGCACTGCCTACTGCTGGTGGCTGCACAGGCCCACAATGAGCACCACTGTCCCAACACCAGGGCGCCGGGGCAGGGGCTGCGGCCAGCGGAGGACAAGAAGCCAGGGCTCTGCGCTACGTCCGAGGCGATGCTACCCTGCTTAGGTCCTCAGGAACTCCATGGCCCAGCTGGGTGCCTGGAGACAGGACGTCCAGGACGTGGCCCACTCCTACCACCTGCTGCCCAGAACCACCTGGAATCGACGTTGGCCCCAGCTCCTCTTACCCATCTTTGGTGGGTCGTGCAGCATCGGCAGTCGGACCTCCTTTCGGCCGCCATCCTTCCCAGGACCACTCTTGCTGGACCCTGGGAGCCGACGGCCTCCAACGCAGAAAGGATCCGTCATCTCTGCAGAGCAAGTGGACATTCCGTGAAGCCTGACGGGTCCCCTGTGAACACGTCGGGGGGCTCCTGGAGCCCCATGCTCCGCAGGCCCTCTCTGATCAGGGAAGAGGAGCCTGGCCTCCGTGGCTCTGCTAACATGGGAAGCAAGTGATGGGGGCTTCGGACACAGGGGGAGCTGCCTGTCAGGGTCTCCCCAGACAACCCAGGAGGCGTCATCAGTTTGGGAGGAGCTAGTCCTGCGCAGAGACCCTCGCCAACGTCCAGACCCCCTTCCTGACAGGTGTGCAGCTTCGAAGGTGCCGCTGAAGCTGACGCACTCCTACCCAGAGCTGGGAGCGGTGTGTCCCGGGGAGAGGTGCCTGGCAATATTCCTCCTCCGGGGGCCAATTATGTCTCGGGTGAGGCTGCTGGCTCACAGGCTACCTGGCCCAGCGGGGGGCCCAGCTTCTCACTGGGGCCCTCATCCCTTCCCAGGCAGACCTGATGCAATGCCCACCCACCCAGGCAGGCACCCTTGGAATCCTCACCAGACGCAGACGGAAACCCGTTGAGGTGGGCTGAGGACCCCTGGCCCACTCCAGCACTGCACCTGGCTCCTGTCCACCCTCTTGGCAGCTGACCTGCCCCCCACCCCACCTCTCTAAGCCTTTCAGTCCCGCCTACTGACCCGCGGCCACCACTTCAACCAAACGAGTCAGAAGCACCGGCAGTGAGCCCAGGCTGCTGGCCAGAGAGAACGCCCTGCTGCCCCAGGCTGGACCCCGAGGGCCTGAGCTGCTGCGAACCCCAACCCGAGAGCTGGGGAGCAGAGGAGATGCTGGACCCGACCCTGTGGAAAGGCCCTGGAAGCGGGTGGGACAGGAAGCAGGGTGAGGGCTGAGTGGGGAGGTGGCCCCTCCTGACAGCTTCTGATTAACTCGGATCCCAGGGGATGGGAAGGGGCTGCTGTGTCCGCGAGGGCCAGAGAGCTGGGGTCAGAGGTCAAGACAGTCATCGCCCATTGCCAAGGGGGAGGCCAGTGTCGGGGACAAAGTTCTCTGGAAGGCCTCACTTTGCAACTTCGAAAGGAGACAGGGCCGGCAGGAGTCATCCCGGCCCCTGACGCCCCCGGTGGCCCGGGGTGCAGGTGCCTGCCGAGGCCCCGCGTCCAGTTTTTTGGAAGCCTGGGCGAAGAATTCACAGTAGTGGGACCTGAGGCCAGGGCCGGCCCGGGGGCAGAGACGCGACTCGCGCCCCGGATGAGAAGGGGCCTCGGCCCTCCGGAGCCCAGCGGGGTCACCCAGCCGCGGCGGGGAGAGGGGGCCGGCGGCGCTGCGCGCAGAGGACGCCGGCTGCGGGGCCGCCGCGTAGGCCGCTCGGCCCGGGACCCCGGCCCAGGCCCGGCGCGCGGGGAGCGCGGCCCGGGACGCGCACCTGGGGCCGGCCCCGCCACCCACCTGTCACCTGGGGCCGCGCGCGGGGCGCGGGCCTCGGCCTGGCCGGGCAGGGCCGGTCGCGGGCGCGGGGTGGGGGGGCGAAGGCGGTGAACCAAAATGGCGACTTTTTCTGGAGAAGGAGGAGGCAGGAAGACGGCGCCGGCGCGGGGCGCGGGGGGCTCCGGGCCCGGCCCCCTCCTGGGCCCGCGCGCGGGGTCGAGATCGGGGCGCGGCGGGCGCCGGGGCTGCGGCCGAGCGGGGGCCGGGGCGCGGCGGGCGCTTACCTGCGGCGCCCAGCGGGGCTGCGGCCGGGCCGGGCCGGGCCGGGGCGGGGGGCGCGGGGCGCGGGGCGCGGGGTCCGGGCGGCGCAGGCTGCGCGCGGCGCTGCGCACATGCGCGCTCCCGCCCCTCCCACCTTTGACAGTTTTACTGCGGGGGGAGGGGGCGAACTCTCGCGTTATTCCCGCGGCCGCTCCGCGACGGGGAGGGGGGAGGGGGCGCCCCGCGCGGCCCCGTGGCCCCCCTGCTCGCGGTGTCGCCCCCGTCGGCCGGTCCCGCGGCCCAGAGTGGCCGGTTCTGCAGTCCCGGGGCGGGGGCCGCGTTTTGGACCGTGGGGTAAACTGAGGCCCCATAGCGGGGCTGGGCACTGCCGGAGCCCGGCGCGCGGATTGAGGCGGCCTGTTTCCCCCGCGTCCTGGCCGGCGCGGCGAGGGCGGCCTCGGGGCGCGGGATCCTGACCTCTGGCCCTGGGTGCCTGGGCGGGACTGGGCCCCTTTCCAGCTGCCCCCGGGGGATCGCCTGGCTCCTGGCAGTGCCTGGCGGCTTGAGGCCGTGGGGCTTTACCGGGGTCACTGACCGTTGGGTCAACCTTCCCCGACTCTGGGGGCGGTGGTTCTGAGCCAGTGCCCATGCCTTCTCTGCCCCAGGGCCTGGGCTTCTGCAGGGGACACTGGGGTCCAGGGTGGGCTGGGCGGTCCAGAGGTGACCGAGCACTGACGGCACGGGCCTGGGGAATGAACGAGGCGGAGAAAGGTGTGCCCTCCTTAAGAGCACCCGGAGGGCCGGGCGCGGAGGCTCACGCCTGTAATCCTAGCACTTTGGGAGGCCGAGGTGGGTGGATCACCTGAGGTCAGGAGTTCAAGACCATCCTGGCCATCAGGGCGAAACCCCATCTTAAAAAAAAAAAAAAAAAAAAAAAAAAAAAAAGGAGCACCGGGAGGAGGTCCGTGCGCCTTACCTGGGAGGCCCCACACCAGTCTGGCACAGGACCCACAAGAATTCCCCCCAGGAGAGCCTGCCCACCTTTCCTTCCTTCCCATCCCTCCCTCCCTTCCTTCCTCCCCTGTGGGTAACCCCCCATATAGGCACCGAAGAATGAGAGCTAAGCAGAGCCCTGGCACAGTTACGGTTTGAGGAATATCTCACTTTATAGTGTTACTACTCAGCTGTTTCCTTTTATATAATCCTTTACATAATCATATATTAGTTTATAGAAATAGGGCTTGAAGAATCCCTTTATATAATCCCCTCTATATAATTATATAATAGTTGATAGTATGAGTGCCTAAATAATATTTTCTTACATATATACCTATAATTATATCTTAGTTCATCATCGGAGGAATGCCTACAGTGGACACAGTACAGAGCATGAATTAAGGAATAAGCAGCTTATAATCGGAGGAATGCCCAGAGCAGACACAGTGCAGAGCATGGTTTAAGGGAAAACAGTTATACCAGGACAAGAATCCATGGCCCAGGCGGCAGCGTTCAGTATCGTAAAGATGGCAGGCTTGGGGCGAGAGCCACTCCTCCTGATAAAGGAGTTGTAGGACCCTGCTCCAGTTCTTGTGGAAGGCTGCCCTCAGACCCGCAATCCACCTCGGTGACCGTGAACTTTATCAGTTCTTGCTACTGTGTTGCTCAAAAAGCATCTTCCCACAGAACCCATTGGAAGCTGCCAGAAGGTGGCGGTAACCTTGACAGCTCTGTCACTGATATGTGATTTAAGCATCCTCCGATAAATCTTCTTAGAAGTAGTTTCCCATAGATAGATGTATCGCACACTATACCCCTTTACTGCACCTGGTCCTTGCCTTCGTGGGAACCGGGCCCTTGCCTTTGTGGGAACGGGCCCCTTGCTGTGCACTGTCCACCTCCCAGCCTAGGTGACCTAACGGGGGTGGACCCCATGTTTTATTGCTCACGACCCTATCACTATCCTTAAAGATGATTTCACTCACTGCCCTGCCCCCTAACCTATACACAATAAATACTCACGCTTCTGGACATTCGGGGCTTTGCCGCCTCGCCAGCCAGCCTCCCCTGACTCCGCTTATAGGTGGTGTGGCCCCCCGAGCCCGCTGCGTTTTCTTTGTACTTCTGTGTCCTGCCTCTTTATTTCTCGGATCCTGCGCCTCAGCACAGCATAAGGCAAACCCCACGACCCTGTGGGGCACTCAGCTTTTCATCGGGTTCCCAATGTGCCCTACACTCCCCTTTCTTCTTTTGTTTTTTTTTCTTTCTTGAGATAGGGTCTCACTGTCATTCAGGCTGGAATGCAGTGGTGTGATCTTGGCTCACTGTAGCCTCTACTGCCTGGGCTCAAGCAATCTTCCCACCTCACCCTTCCAAGTAGCTGGGACTACAGGTATGTGCCACCACACCTGGCTAAAGTATTCATACAGACGACGAGGTCTTTCTGTGTTGACCAGCCTGGTCTTGAACTCCTAGGCTCAAGCAATTTTCCTGCCTCAGCCTCCCACAGTGTGGGCATTACAGGCATGACCCACCACCTCCAGCTGGCAGGGCCATTCTTACCTGATCACAGCACCCATGTCCTAGGGAAGGCCTCAGGCCTCAGGAGGGAAGAGTCAGGGAGACTCTAGGTTTTCATCTTGTGCCTACAGAGGTTTTTTTTTTTTTTTTGAGATGGAGTCTAGTTCTGTTCCCCAGGCTGGAGTGCAGTGGTGCAATCTTGGCTCATTGCAACCTGTACCTCCCACGTTCAAACAATTCTTCTGCCTCAGCCTCCCGAGTAGCTGGGATTGCAGGTGTATGCCAGCCACTATGCCCAGCTAATTTTTTAAGTTTTTTTTTTTTTTTTTTTTTTTTTTGAGACGGAGTTTCGCTCTTGTTACCCAGGCTGGAGTGCAATGGCGCGATCTCAGCTCACTGCAACCTCCGCCTCCTGGGTTCAGGCAATTCTCCTGCCTCAGCCTCCTGAGTAGCTGGGATTACAGGCATGCGCCACCATGCCCAGCTGATTTTTTATGTATTTTTAGTAGAGACGGGGTTTCACCATGTTGACCAGGATGGTCTCGATCTCTTGACCTCGTGATCCACCCTCCTCAGCCTCCCAAAGTGCTGGGATTACAGGCCTGAGCCACCGCGCCCGGCCTAATTTTTTGTATTTTTAGTAGAGACAGTGTTTCACCAAGTTGGTCAGGCTGGTCTCGAACTCCTGACCTCATGATCCACCCACCTCAGCCTCCCAGAGTGCTGGGATTACAGGCATAAAACACTGCGCCCGGCTAGCATTTATTTATTTTTTAACCATGTGCATATACTACTTTTACAATTAAAACAGGCTTTTAGGCTGCAGTGGTGGCTCACGCCTGTAATCCCAATCCTTTGGGAGGCCGAGGAAGATGGATCATGAGGTCAAGAGATGGAGACCATCCTGGCCAACATGGTGAAGCCCCATCTTTACTAAAAATACACAAATTAGCTGGGCGTGGTGGTGCACACCTGTAGTTCCAGCTACTCGGGAGGCTGAAGCAGAAGAATGGCCTGAACCCAGGTGGCGGAGGTTGCAGTGAGCCGGGATATCACCACTGCACTGCAGCCTGGCAACAGAGCGAGACTCCATCTCAAAAAAACAAACAACAAACAGACTTTTATAAGTTTCATAATGCCTCTTTTTGCTTGCTACAAACATTCTGGACTCCTTAAAATTCACGTGGGCTGGAAATTGCTGGTCAGGAAATAGAGCTACAAAGTGTACCTCCTTCTCTGGGGTCCTTCTGGCCCAGTCAGCACCTGCCCTGCTGCCCCAGGAGAAAGCTCAGCGGCACTGCTTGGGGGCTGGGCAGGGAAGCATCGTGCCTTTCCTCAGAGGGGCCTGGGATCTGCTTCACTCAAGCCTGGCGCACAACAGAGCACTCACAGGGAGACGGGTTTTTGTGGAAGAGTCAGGTGGTCCTTCCCTTGGGAATCTGAGCCAGAGAGAGGCCAGCGTGCACCAGCCCATGTGACCCGAGGAGTAAGGGCAGGACATTTCCTGCGAGGCTAGCGCCATCGCGTCCTTCCCTTGCCGACCGCTCCCCCTGGGGATAGGACCAGCAGGATTTCCTGAGGGCCAGCACGCATCCCCTTAGGCGCATCCAAGGTGGTCAGCTCTCCATGTAAGCCTGGGTGTCCATACGTGCGACCCGTTTGGACATTGCCGTGTCCCACGCTGGGTGAGGCCAGTGCCTGTCTGTGTGTTAGCATCTGCGCAACTAGACATCAGGGTGCATGGGGACAGTGTGTCTGCATTCCAGCATATATGTATCTGGGCTGTGACATGTCTCAGCGTCAGGGTGCTGGTTGATGTCCATGCGTGTGAGGATGGTTGTTTTCTGTGTGCAGCTAGATGCCAGGGTGTTGTGTAACACAGCTTGTTTGTGTGCATTGGGGACGTGCTGGGTCCCACGTGTTTCTACATATTAGGAGGTCGTTGTGTGTCTGCATGCTAGTGTCTGTTTGTTGACAGCGTGTTTGTAGGTGGGCACGCTATTACGTACCTTTGTGTCTGTGTCTGGCCAACTGCATGGACGTGTTTGTGCTGGTGTTTGCTGGTGTCGGCGTCATTGAGTCTCTGTGTGTGAGCGTCTGTGTGTGGTTTATGCCTCCGAGTTCTTTTTTTTTTTTTCCTTTTGAGACAGAGTCTTGCTACATTGCCAGGCGCCAGCCTGGAGTGCAGTGGCGCGATTTCGGCTCACTGCAACCTCTGCCTCCTGGGTTCAAGCAATTCTCCTGCCTCGGCTTCCCGAGTAGCTGGGACTACAGGCATGCACCACCACGCCCAGCTCATTTTTGTATTTTTAGTAGAGACGGGGTTTCACCATGTTGGCCAGGATGCTCTCCATCTCGACCTCGTGATCCACCCGCCTCGGCCTCCCAAAGTGCTGGGATTACAGGTGTGAGCCACCGTGCCCGGCGCCTCTGAGTTCTTATGTGTCTGACTGCTGTGTGTCAGGTTGTGTGCTGTGATCTGTGTGTTTAAGACAGGGTCTTGCTCTTTGCCCAGGCTGGAGTACAGTTGAGTGGTCAGAGCTCACTGTGCCTTGAACTCCTGGACTCAGCCTTCCAAGTAGCTGGGACTACAGGTATGCGCCACCATGCCTGGCTAGTTTAAAAAGTTGTTGTGTAGAGATGGGGTCTTGCTGTATTGCACAGGCTGGTCTTGAACTCCTGGCCTCAAGCAACACTCCTCCCTTCGTCTCCCACAGTGCTGGGATTGCAGGCCTGAGCCACTGCACCGGGCCTTCTGTGTTTCTTACGTCAGGGCACTCGCTGCTGACTTGGGAACCCCCAGAGATGTTCACAGTTTTTTGTTTTTGAGATGGAACTTGGTTCTTGTCACCCAGGCTGGAGTGCAATGGCACGATCTCGGCTTACTGCAACCTCCGCCTCCTGGGTTTAAGCAATTCTCCTGCCTTACCTCCCAAGTAGCTGGGATTACAGGTGTCTGCCACCACACCTGGCTAATTTTTTATATTTTTAGTAGAGATGGGGTTTCACCATGTTGACAAGGCTGGTCTCAAACTCCTGACCTCAGGTGATCCACCCGCCTCAGGCTCCCGAAGTGTCGGGATTACAGGCGTGACCCTGCAACTGGCCAGATGTTCATGCTTTATCTCTGAGTGTGTGGATGGGACCTTATTGGGAAAAGGGTATTTGCAGATTGACTAAAGATCTTGAGATGAAGAGATCATCCTGTATTACCCAGGTGGGCCCAATCCAAGTCTCCTCTAAGAGGGAGGCAGAGGGAGATTTGAGAGACGGAAGGGGAGGAGGTGATCTGATTACAGAGGCGAAGACGCCAGTAATGCCCATGAGCCGAAGCTGCAGAGTCGAGGAATCTCCCCAGGAGGCCCCGGGGGAGCTGGACTCCGGACTGCGGCCTCCGGAATCGTGAGCGAATGGGTGTCTGCCGTCCTCAGCACCCCTCGTGGTCCAGCCGCAGGACCCTCTTGCGTGTGCCTGGGCCGTGCCTTCCAGCGAGTCGGGCATTGAGTCCAGCCCTGGGGGCCGCCCGCCAGGGTGGCTTTAGCCCCCTTTCCAGCCTGGCGCTGGGGTGGCTCAGAGGCCCCTCGAGGACGCGACGCCACTGCCCCCTGGTGGCCGCGGCTGCCCGGACGCCCTCTCCTCGCAGACCCAGCCCTTGGGAACCAGCTTTACTTTTGATTTATTGTCAGGGTATAAAAAAGTGAGCACAAAACAAGGAAGACGAGACAGGCGTGCGTGGGGCGGGGCAGGGCAAGACCGAGGAGGAGGGAGGGGAACAGAACCGGAGGGCCCCCCCGGGCGGAGGCTGATGGTGGGTGGAATCCTCTCTCAGGCTGCCACACGGGACAGGGCTGAGGGTTTCCCCGAGGTGGGGGCTCATGGGATTGGAGCGGTCAGGCCAGTTGTCCAAATTCTACCTGGGACCCGCAGTAACCAGCCTCGAGTCTGGAGGCCGACTGGGGGCTCAGCCTCATCTGTCCCTGAGATTTTCAGAAGCCCCGAGGGGATCGGGAGAGGGCAGGGGCGCAAGAGGGCGAGGGCGGCCGGGGCTGCCCTCACTGTCCTGGCAGGCAGCACCAGCCCCAGACCACCCAGGGAGGGGCTGCTCGGGCCTCTGGGCGGGCCTAGGGGGAGCAGCCCTGGGAAGGCCTCCCCCCGAATCCAGGCCTTCTTGGGAAAGCGGGAATGGGAAGGCCCACACACAAGGCCCTAGTTCCTTGAAGGTGGGAGTGGGGAAGACGCGTGAAAGCAAGAGTTTCCCAAAGACGGGGCAGGGAGCACTGCCAAGCCTGGGCCCCGGGTGTGCAGTCACCAGGACAGTGCAGGGTCCTTGTGCCACATTTTGTCTCTGGTGCTTGTTCAGTCTGGGCCTTTCTCGGCTTCACTTCTCATGAATAGAGGGGTGTGGTGAGGATGAAAGTGCTTGGCATGATCCCTTTGGGTGGGTGCCGATGGCCGCTACTCTAGATGACGCCTGCTGGGCCCTGGCATGGGCACAAGCCACAGGGAGCCCAGGCAGCTCATGGCACCTGTGTGGGCCAACCTGGAGGTGCTGGGGAACGGCTGAGAACCGGGCTGGGGGTGGACAGACAAGTGACTCAGCAGGCGATGGGGGACAGACATCACGTGGGGAAGCACACGTAAATAAACAGACTCCCTGGGAGTCTGGGGGACACCCAAACCGGCCCTGGCTCTAGGCAGCTGCCTCATGTGCTGCCAGCAGCACCGGGGGAGGACTTGGGCCCAGGTCCCAGGAGGTGGGGCCACACTCAAGCAGCCCTCTGCCCACCCAGCCCCAGGGCATGGCCTGGAATGTCCAAGTAGAGGCGCCTGGAACTGGTGATCCTGGTGTTGTCTGTCCATTGGGCCAGCCTGGTCACTGGGGCATCCTGCAGGGTCCAGCGGGGGCTACGGGGCCGGCTCTGCCTCCTCCCTCGTCCTGGACTCCGGTCACAGTGCTGGGGTCTGGGGTTCAAGCCTCAGCAGCAGCTAGGACATTTTTCCGAAGGAAGCTGTGGGATTGAAGAGGGTGAGGAAGGGGTGGGGCCTTTGGTGTCATCTGCATTACGGCCCTTACCAGGGCCGGCAGCCACCCTCCTGAGGTCATCCCACCCGGCACTCAGAGGGGCTTCTCCATGATCCCCCAGGCCTCTCTGGCACCTCGCACTGACCTTGGCTGAGCAGCTGCAGGCTCCGCCCCTCCTCACGCACCTGCAGGCGGAGCAGCTGCTGCAGCACCTCCTGCCTCTGCGCCTCCTGGGCCAGCCCCATCCGCTGCAGCTTCTCCGCATTCAGCCGCAGCAGTGCGCGGCCTGGGGAGAGGAAAGAGGGGCTGAGCGGGGCCAACAGAGGCATCACGAGCCAGGGCAAGGCCGGTGCGGTGGCTCACGCCTGTAATCCCAGCACTGTGGGAGGCTGAGGTGGGCAGATCATTTGAGGTCAGGAGTTCAAGACCAGCCTGGACAACATGGTGAAACCCCATTTCTACTAAAAACACAAAAAATTAGCTGGGCGTAGTGGTGCGCACCTGTAGTCTCAACTAATTAGCTGAGGCAGGAGAATCACTTCAACCCGGGAGGCAGAGGTTGCAGTGAGCCGAGATCCTGCCACTGCACTCCAGCCTGGTGACAGAGCGAGACTCTGTCTTAGAAACAAACAAACAGAGCCAAGGCACAGGCAGGGACTGAGAGAGAAAGAGGGAGAGAGGGGGAAGCAGGGGTACAGAGAGACTCAGAGGGAGAAAGAGATTCAGAGAAACAGATAAAGAGTCTTGGAGAAAGGCAGAGGGAAAGGGTGAAGAGCAAAAGGCAGAGACGGAGCAGAGGAAAGCCAGATGAAGACAGCACAGAGACATGGGGAGAGACACAGAAAGAGAGGCAGAGAGGGCCGGGCACGGTGGCTCACGTCTCTCATCCCAGCACTTGGGGAGGCCAAGGTGGGTGGATCACAAGGTCAGAAGATCGAGACCATCCTGGCCAATATGGTGAAACCCCGTCTCTACTAAAATAACAGAATTAGCTGGGCGTGGTGGTGTGCGCCTTTAGTCTAAGCTACTTGGAAGGCTGAGGCAGCAGAATTGCTTGAACCAGGAGCTGGAGGTTGCAGTGAGCCGAGATCGCGCCACTGCACTCCAGCCTGGGCGACAGAGCAAGACTCTACCTCAAAAAAAAAAAAAAAAAAAAAAAAAAAAAGGCAGAGAGGTATGAAGAAAAGATTCTGCGAAGATGCAGACCAGAGGGGAGGATGACTCAGAGGAAGATCTAGACAGACAAAAACAATAGTAAGAGAAAGGCTGGGAGTGCGGGGAGGCGGCGCTCGGGGGCATCCAGCCCCTCCCGCAGCACCCTCAGCCCCGCTGTACCGGTGATGGCGTGCTGTGTGAAGGCCTCCACGTAGACGAGGTAGTTGTGGGGACAGTGCTTCTTGAGCCACTTGCACACGTCCTGCTGGCTCCACAGGACCACGGGCCGGGTCAGGCCGCCCAGTGAGGGGCTTGTGTGGTACAGCCCATAGTGGTCAGAGTACAGCCGGCCCTGCAGGGAAGGGCATGGCAGGCAGAGTGAGAGTGGTGGAGAGGGAGGGCGGGGCGGAGGCGGGTGGAGTGGGTGGGTACCTGGGGGGTCTCTGTGCCCGGCTGCTGCAGGAGCTTGATTGGCCTGCTGCTGGCCGCCCTCTGGCTGCGGGAGTCATGCCACGTGAGGCTGGTGCCAGGTGTCCGAGGCAAGTGGCAGGGGATGCTCTCAGCTGACACCGTGTGCTCCAGGAGGGTCCGGCAGAAGTTGAAGTGGGCAGTGGCTGTGTGTGGGGGTGCCTGGTCAGGGCAGTCAAGGGCAGGGGCAGAGGCTTCCTCTACCTGAGAGCCAGCTCCCTGCCCCATATCCCCTACACCAGTTCGGAAATCACTTCCCCAGTGAGGGGTTCCCAAGCCTCCGAAGGCAGAAGGAAGTGTGCAGGCCGTTTTCAGGACCTTCCCCAGCACGAAAGGTGAAGAACTGGAAACACCTTTCCTCTTGCATGTCTACAGCCCTCACCCTGGGGAAGCAGGATGGACGCTGCTTAGACCAGAGGATGTGCCACTAGGGAAGGGAACCTAAGACATACGGCCGGGCAAGAGGGGCCATCCTGGAACAGCCCTGGCCGTACCGTTGCCTTGGGCTGGCATGCAAGCCTTGCACACATTACACCAGACCAGAGTGCACACACGACCTGCTTTGAGGAAAGGCAGGTTTCAAATCTGGGGATATCATCTGTGGTAGGGAAGCCTGGCAGAGGATGCTGCCTGCCCATCGCCATCGAAGGCACTCAGTTCACACAGCCCGATTTGGTGTTGGGGCCCAACTCACTATGGCTCATTGACAGCCTGAACTCCTGGCCAACTCACAAGCAGGGTTCCCTCCCCAAACACTCGCTGAGCTCTCCGGCTGTGCCACCGCCCACAGGGCCTGCCGAAAACCCAGCCCAGTTCTCGGCCGTTCCCCAGCACCCCCAGGTTGGCCCACACAGGTGCCATAAGCTGCCTGGGCTCCCTGTGGCTTGTGCCCATACCCCTGCCAGGACCCAGCAGGCTGACCCATCATCTAGAGTAGTGGCAGGCCCAGGACAACACCGGCCGTGTGAATGGTGGGCACCCACTGGCTATTGGTGGGTGAACATAGGTATGTGGGGTACAGCCATTGCTCGGAGACCCATGGGGATGCCCTGTGCTCCCTCTTCCTGCAGTAACTACATTAAGGCATCTCATCTAAGCTTTGTCTCATCTCTGGGGGCACTGCTGACCTAAGTCTGGAGGAGGCAGACTTTTTTTTTTTTTTTTTTTTTTTTGAGATGGAGTTTCGCTCTTGTTACCCAGGCTGGAGTGCAATGGCGCGATCTCGGCTCACAGCAACCTCCGCCTCCTGGGTTCAGGCAATTCTCCTGCCTCAGCCTCCCGAGTAGCTGGGATTACAGGCACGCGCCACCATGCCCAGCTGATTTTTTGTATTTTTAGCAGAGACGGGGTTTCACCATGTTGACCAGGATGGTCTCGATCTCTCGACCTCGTGATCCACCCGCCTCGGCCTCCCAAAGTGCTGGGATTACAGGCTTGAACCACCGCGCCCGGCCTTTGAGGCAGACATTTTGATCCAGGTCTTGTTACATGGGGCACCCCACAACATTGTGAATGAATGAATGAATGAATGAAGGCTCTGTATGGTGTCTGCAAGTGAACAGAGCGTGTGGGGACGCAGAAGGTGGGCACAGGCCTGCCCCTGTCTTTACAGCACCCAGGCCCTCAGCAGGGCAGGTGAGGTTCCCACGCTGGGGCCCTCCCCTCATGTACCCTACCGGCCCCACACTCAGCCACCCACTCCACACCCACGGCAGGGCTTGGAAATGTGTTTAGGAGGTCTGAAGACCCGGGGAAACCCACATCCTACTCCCCAGTCCTCCCACCCCCGTAAGACTTCTGAGACAACATCTTCCACCCCAATTCCTGCAACTTTCAGGAACCGGACCCTGGGTGACCCCAGATTTGAGGTCTAGGATCAGGAGAGGGTGTGGCAGTGGGCCCCCGCACGGAGGCAGCCTCCAGCGCGGTGGGAAAGGACTCACTGCAAGCCCGCGCCTTCCGGCGGACGGGCGCTGTGGTCTCCCGGCTTTGCAGGGCCTGGAGCGGTCGGGCTGGCGCAGGAGCGCGCGGCAGCCCCGCGAACCCGCCCGGGCTCCTCCGCCCGCGCTGCACCTGCCCCGGGCACGCGGGCTCCGCCCATTTCCTGCCCGCACTCCGGGAGGGAGCCCAGGCTGTCCCGCGGCGGCCCGTGGGTCCCTCCCGCCCTAACGCCACGATTCCAGAAGGAGATGGGGCGGGGGCGCCCAGGCCGGCTGTGACCTCGGTTCCCTCCCGGCCCCACGGCGAAGGCTGGGAGGGTTTTCTCCGCGCGAAGGAAGACGTGACGCGCAGTGCCGGCGTGGACACGGGCGCCCCGGCTTGTCACCCGCTCACCCCAAGCCAAGGGCGCGCTGACCGGGCCCGAGGCCGGCTGCCCCACAAAACAGGACAAAGGCCACGGGGACCCCGCTGGGCCGAGACGTCCTCCGAATACCCACGGCCGCCGCCGCCTCTCCAAGCCCTCCGGGTCCCGCCCCCGCGCCTCCGGGTCCCCGAGACCCCCGCCCGCGACGTCCCCGCGCCCCGGTCCAGCCCCGCTCACCGTCCACATCCCGGCGCTCCCCGAAGTCCGCGCGCACGGCCCCGGCGCGGCCTCGCGGGGGGCTCAGCTTGGACCTCAGCTCGGTGAACATGGGGCCCGGGAGCCCGGCCCGCGCACACGCCCCTCGCCGAGCGCAGGGCGGCCGGTGTGGCCGGCGGGGAACGCGCGCCGCCGCCCCGCCCCGCCCCAGCCGGCCCCGCTCCCGAGCCGGTCCCCGCGGTCCGCGAGTCTGCGCGGCGAGGCACCTGCCGCCGAGCCCTGTGTGCCGGGCGCGCTCCGGGAGCTCCGAGGTGTGTCGGCGGCGCGCGGGCCCGCGTGCGCCGAGGCTGTCCGCCGGGGCGAGGGGCGTCCGTGCGCCCCCGGGAGCGGCTCCGCGGAGGAGAGGCCCCGCGCACCTGCTGGGGGTCCTCTGAGGTCCGGCCCCTCCGTGCGTAGGGAGGGGCTGACGGGCATCTTGCGGGGCCTGCTACCCACCGAGCCAGGAGAAGGGGCAGGCCAGCCCCTCCCACACACTGCCCTCGGCCTCCGGCCTCTTCGCCCTCCCTCGAGTGGGCACCCGCCCACCCCACTGTGAACATTAGGGCGACTCTCCCTTCCCTCTGCAGCCCCAGAACCTGGCTCAGTGCCCGGGGGGGCGGTGGAGGGCCCTGTCACTGAAAGGGGCTTGGCTGGAGACGGGGCAGAGAGGCGCTCCAAGGCGGCGCAGCAGGCCGGAGCCGCGTGTTTGCTCCAGGATCCAGTGAGACGCGCTGGGCTGTGGTCGGCTTGCTCTGCCCGGGAGCCTAGGTGCCCTCCCTGGGTGTATGCAGGGGCTCCGGAGGATGTGCTACAGCCGAAGGAGCAGAAATGCGTGCACCCCAAACACGAGCACACGTGACCCCAATGGGCACACACCCCGCTAATCCACACACGCAGAATTCACCCACATGCTTGACAGCCATGTTCATGTACTGACGTGTTCCCGACAGGTCAGCTGCGGTTATTTCGCCAATTAGCTCTCGGGGATCTGAGAATGTGGCCCTCGCCAGAAGGTCCGAGGCACACTGGGGGGCGTGGGTGGGGTCTCTCATCCCGCTGGAGGCACAGATGCCTGAATGGGGGCCCCAAAATATGAATGCTGAAAGCACAGGGCAGCAGCGTGCGCACAGGACGCCCACAGGCAGGCGCGCCCACGACCAGCACGCGCAAGCTCTGCACAACTGCACGGGCTGCAGCCCCGCTCGACGGTGATCAGGGCCCGCCAAGGGCGGCGGCGGGAAGCTGGGCCGGTTCGGAGGGACTGGACCACGGGCCCTGCTGGCAGACGGGTCTCCTTGGGAATGCGTCAGCGCACCGGGGAGGCAGCGAGGCCCCAGGCTCCGCTTTTGGGGCCGCCCCGGAGCCCGCTGGGGTCCCGGGGCCAGCTCGGCCTCGCTGCTCCCGCCCCGCCACGAGGAGGCGCTCCCGCGCACGCGCCTGCCGCGGCCCCGCCCCCTAGCCGCGGCCGGAAGTCGCCAAGGAGCGCGTCGGGGCTTCCGCCCGGGGCGTGGAAAGTGGGCGGGCCCTGAGCGCACCCCGCGCTCTGCTTCCGGGGCGCGGGTGACGCGGCAGCCGCGACCTCCTCCCGCGGAGCGCCCCGGACGTCGCAGCCCGGAGTGTCTGCGTCTGCCCGCGTCCGCCGCTTCCCTCCTTTCCTGCCCAGCCTGGGTCGCCGCCGCCGCCATGAACAAGAAGAAGAAGCCGTTCCTGGGGATGCCCGCGCCGCTCGGCTACGTGCCAGGGCTGGGCCGGGGGTGAGGCCTGGGGCGGCGCGCGAGGGGCGGGGGTCTTTGGCCGCGCGGTCGGGGCGAGCTCGGGGGAGGCAGCCGCGGCTTTGGGTCGGGACGGACGCGGGCGTGCCGCGTGGGTGAGACGCGCTGCCCGTGGCCCGGTGTGGGACGCGCGGTGCTGGGCGCGGCCGCGGTGGCGCGCGGTGGAGACGCGGCCGCCTTCCCGGGGGCGGCTGGCACACCCCCCGCCCGCCTCGAGCGCGCCGGGGTCCTCCGTGCCCGCGACGCAGATGGCCGCCGTACGTGGTCGGATCAGTGAGCAGTCGTGGCCGTCCCGTCGGTCACTCATGGGATGAGGAAAGCGGCTGGGTTTTTCGTGGTGGCGGTGTTGTGCTGGAATCTGCGGGGCGCACGCCGGACTCCGATACTGGCTGCGCCTTCGGAGGACCCGAAGCTCGTGGAGGGTTTGGTATTAGCGTAAATCAGCACGTCAGGAGGATCGGATTGAGAACCCAGTGCTTCATGGAGTGTGGCGTCGGGGCCGAGTTTAGTAGGAGAGCTGGACTTAGGGCTGCAGAAACGTGGTCGTGATAGAAGAGAAACTGACGTTGTGTGTGTGTGGAGAGTCAGAAAAAAGTGAGGCCGGGAGGAAGCCCAGGGGACAGGGGAGTCCAGTGGAACGGAGCTTAGGCGCTTGGAGTGGCCTGGAGCGCCGGGCTAGAGCTCCTGGAGACGTCAGAAAGACCATGGCCCTTGAGAAGTTTTCAGTCAGAGCTGTGTTTTGGGAAGAATCCTCTGGCAGAGGATGGGTTGAAGTAGAGGAAGGCTGGAGGCAGGGCGGGCTGACTTGGTTTCCAGCTATGGTGGGAGTCATGGTCTGGGGAGGAGAGATTTTGAAGGTGGATTCCTTAGTACTTGGCGGCAGACAGGATGGAGAGGGTTGGAGAGGGGGGCAAATGTTGTGTCACGGATCCTTGGCATCTGGGTCAGCACGCTGAAACACCCCTGAGCAGCTGCAAGGTGGGCCCAGAAGAGGGGCTCAGTTTGGGCCAAGTTGGGTTTAAGGGCCTGGTTGGATGTGGAGGGGGAGATGATCGAAGCCTTCGGGTGGAGGGATTGCCTTGGTAACGTCTTCAGAGTAGGTTAAACCTTCAGGTAAGTAGAGAAGATCAGTGGTATTTGAGACTGCAGTTTGTTGTCACCAGGGTCTTTGGAGGTTCCCAGAGGTGGTAGAAATAGACATAGACTGGGCACGGTGGCTCACACCTGTTACCCTAGCACTTTGGGAGGCCGAGGTGGGTGGATCACCTGAGGCCAGGAGTTCAAGACCAGCCTGGCCGTCATGGTGAAACCCCATCTTTAAAAAAAAAAAAAAAAAAGGAATAGAGGTAACATTAAGTGATGACCAGGGGTGGAGAAGAGCCCGGGAACAGGCGCACTCAGATACTGGGTGTCTTGGGGGTCTCCTGCAGTGCCACTGGCTTCACCACCCGCTCAGACATCGGGCCCGCCCGTGATGCAAACGATCCTGTGGATGATCGTCATGCGCCCCCGGGCAAGAGAACCGTTGGGGACCAGATGAAGAAAAACCAGGCTGCTGATGATGACGATGAGGATCTAAATGACACCAATTACGACGAGGTGAGGTGTGTTGGGCTTCTGTGGCTCCTCCAGCCAGTCTCTGGGAGCGGCTGACCAGCTCCCTAACCAGTGTGTTGGTGCCTGTAATGAGTGGCTTGGATGGCTCATGCATTTAAAATTTCAGCCATTCACGGGACATCTTTAGCAGAGAGTGAGAGAGAGCAGGAAGAACACGGAGAAATGTGCACTTTTCATCTCTTCAGAGAGATGTTCTTGCAGGTGTCAGGACCACTGCCTTGGTGTTTTGTATTGGTCGGTCTTTTATGACAAAATCTTACAGTGGAATTCGTGACAATATTTGCTTTCTTTAGTGTTAGTGGTTGCCCTCTAAAAAGACATCTAAAGGAAAACAGCTGACTGAATACCAATTAACTCTTCTAACAGATCACATTTTTCCTCTGAGGAAAATTTTTAAAAATAATTTTAGTTTTGAAATAATTTTAAATTTGCAGGAACTTACAAAAGTAGTGCCAAAAAAAAGTTAAAAAAAAAAATAAATGTTGGCCAGGCGCGGTGGCTCACGTCTGTAATCCCAGCACTTTGGGAAGCCGAGGCGGACGGATTACAGGGTCAGGAAATCATGACTATCCTGGCCAACATGGTGAAACCCTGTTTCTACTAAAAATACAAAAATTAGTTTGGCATGATGGCACGCGCCTGTAAGCCTAGCTACTTGGGAGGCTGAGGCAGGAGAATCACTTGAACAAGGAAGTCAGAGGTTGCGGTGAGTGGAGATCACGCCACTGCACTCCATCCTGGCCACACAGCGAGACCCCCCTCTCAAAAAAAAAGGTTTCTGTGTATCTTTCACCAAGCTTCTTCCCATTTTACGTGACCTTAGCACAGTTATTGAAACCAAGGGGGTAACGCTGACCCAGTACTGTTAGCTAATCTCTCCATCGTATTTGAATTTCCTGTTTTTCCGTGAAAGTCTGTTTTCTGGCTTAGGGCTCAGTCCAGGATCTCTTACTGTGTTTTGTCCTGTCTCCTTGGTCCCTTCCAGTTGGAGTGACTCCTCTGTCTTTCATGCCCTTGATACCTGGAGAGTAGTTACCAGTTACATTGTAGACTGTCCCTCGATTTGGCTTTGTTGGCTGAAGAAATAATTTAGCAAGTATTTCATTAGTAGAGATCTTCTCCATTTCTGCTAGTGGAGAGGTATTGGAGGAAAAACTCACCTCTCTACACATGTTGTTTGGTTCTCAGTTTAATGGCTATGCCGGGAGCCTCTTCTCCAGTGGACCCTATGAAAAAGATGATGAGGAAGCAGATGCTATTTATGCAGCCCTGGATAAAAGGATGGATGAAAGAAGAAAAGAAAGAAGGTAAAAGAAATTGTTGCCTTTCACAATATTTATCCAATTTTTTTTTTTTTTTTTTTTTTTTTTTGAGACGGAGTTTCGCTCTTGTTACCCAGGCTGGAGTGCAATGGCGCGATCTCGGCTCGCCGCAACCTCCGCCTCCTGGGTTCAGGCAATTCTCCTGCCTCAGCCTCCGGAGTAGCTGGGATTACAGGCATGCGCCACCACGCCCAGCTAATTTTTTGCACCTTTAGTAGAGACGGGGTTTCACCATGTTGACCAGGATGGTCTCGATCTCTTGACCTCGTGATCCACTCGCCTCGGCCTCCCAAAGTGCTGGGATTACAGGCGTGAGCCACCGCGCCCGGCACAATTTATCCAATTTTTTAAAGAAAAGTTGGCTGGGTGTGGTGGCTCACACCTGTTATCCCAGCACTTTGGGAGTCTGAGGTGGGTGGATCGCCTGAGGTCTGGAGTTGGAGACCAGCCTGGCCAGCATGGTGAAACCCTGTTTCTAATAAAAATACAAAAATTAGCTGGATGTGGTGATGCACGCCTATAATCCCAGCTATTCTGTAGGCTGAGGTGGGAGAATTGCTTGAACCCGGGAGGTGGAGGTTGCAGTGAGCCAGGATTGTGCCACTGCAGGTGTAGTGGCTCACATGTCTAATCCTAGCATTTGGGATGCTGAGGTAGGATGATAGCTTGAGCCCAGGGATTTGAGACCAGCGTAGGCAACATTAGTGAGACCTCATCTCTACAAATAATTTAAAAATTAGCCAGATGGTGTGTGCCTGTCGACCCAGCTGCTTGGGTGGCTGAGGTGAAAGGACCGTTTAAGCCCAGGAGGTAAAGGCTGCAGTGAGCCGTGATCATGCCGCTGCATTCCAGCCTGGTTGACATAGTGAGACCCTGTCTCCAAAAAAAGAAGAAAGTTTCATTTTGAATTGTTTTATACTTGGAGAAAAGTTGCAAGGGTACATGTGTCTCTGCTCAGCTTTTAGGCCACATAAGGGTCTTGTGCTGTGGTAGCAGTGCTTGGATAGGCACTGGGCTGCTGCAGAACGGCCTCAGGGACTGGGGGCTGGAGTGGAGAGCTTTAAGAATTCTGGGGATTACTTTTACTATACATCCGTGTTTCCATCTTTGAAAAGGGCATATCGACTGTTGATTAATCTATTATATG